GGGTCTTTGGTGAGTGGGTCTTTGGTGAGTGGGTCTTTGGTGAGTGGGTCTTTGGTGAGTGGGTCTTTGGTGAGTGGGTCTTTGGTGAGTGGGTCTTTGGTGAGTGGGTCTTTGTCGAGTGGGTCTTTGGTGAGTGGGTCTTTGGTGAGTGGGGGTTTGGCGAGTGGGTCTTTGTCGAGTGGGTCTTTGGTGAGTGGGTCTTTGGTGAGTGGGTCTTTGATGAGTGGGTCTTTGGTGAGTGGGTCTTTGGTGAGCGGGTCTTTGGTGAGTGGGTCTCTGGTGAGTGGGTCTTTGTCGAGTGTGTCTTTGGTGTCTTGGTCTTTGGTGAGTGGGGGGTTTGGCAAGTGGGTCTTTGGTGAGTGGGTCTTTGGTGAGTGGGTCTTTGGTGAGTGGGTCTTTGGTGAGTGGGTCTTTGGTGAGCGGGTCTTTGGTGTCTGGGTCTTTGGTAAGTGGGGGGTTTGGCGAGTGGGTCTTTGGTGAGTGGGTCTTTGGCGAGTGGGGGATTTGGTGAGTGGAGTAGTCAAAAAAATATTTTGACACGCCATCTTTGCATTACAATAGAACTGTGATGGCTCATTCATGCGGAGCTTTGCATAACACGAGATTATGTGATTGTATGTTTAAAAATACAGATGTCTTTGATTGTTTCATCATCAATATAGAATATATGTTCATCTCTATATATATAGATTCATAAGACGTTGGTAATTGCGTGTTAGTTGGAGAGCACTTGGATAGCTGTTTTGTGACGCATTGTGCGTAAAGGGAAATGACGTGTTAGTGTGTAGTGTGTTGTGATTGAGTAATGGCATCATTTGACAATGCAGTTTGGTATATGAGATGCTTTATTCTAAGAATACCCTAAAAAATGTATAAAACAATTTAAATATCTTTTACCTTAATGTAATTTGAAATATCGGTATCTTCATTAAAAATGTGTTATGCATTGCCTTCTGTTGTGAGAAATTAATCTCTTGTTTTAACTTATTGGCTCGTTCTGAACAGTGGCTTACAAAGGACGATACCATAGAGAAATACAACATTCAAAACAGTTGCAAATTAAAATTAATGAGATTTATTTAAGTATCAATATATAATTACAAAACACAAGAAATACAATTACAAACATCAACTTACAGAGTATGAGTGGTCTTGTACCGGTACACAGTTAGTACAGTGTGCCAATTAATTAAGTACAATGATGCATGAGAATAAACTTATATGAGTATACACAGAATAATACACTTGTCTCGTGAAGTTAAAAATATCTATCAATCCCTCTCTTCCCTTTTAATTCCTGGCTTTATATATGGGTATCGCCTGTTTCTAAGAAGATTCGATGGTAAGAATATGCATTGTAGTTGTGACTAAAAGCTTCTACCAATTTCCATAATTCACTACAATTTAGTACCACCTTCGAGTCAAGATAAACAGGCGATGGATTATTTTGTGATAAAAAAAATTATCGATAGAAATAGGCCACGCCCAATACGAACACATTGTCTTCTAATCTAAGCACAGGGGAAACATGACGTAAACACGTCCTAGATAACAAAGATAAGCAACCTTTTGCCTCGCTCCTGTACTATATTAACGGAAAATCTTAAAACACTGAATTTTTGTGTCCGTAAAAAATTCTCTTAACCTATTTCCATTTCTGTAACAGCCTTACGTGATTTTTTTTTCTGTTAATGTTATTAATCTCATAGAAATGCGTATATACTTTTTTCTATGCACTTTACTTTTTGCAATGTGGAATCAAAGTTAATTATAATTTCATAGTTTTAACTAAAACCTTATCCCATTCTGAAATAGTGAAATAGGGTTTCAACTCGCCTGTTTTCTGTGTTACAACTGATCTTAAGTTCACGTTCTCTTTAGTTTTATACCTCACATCACATGATCGCCCGTTCCAGTTCTCCAACCAATATTCACACCCTTAAGTTTAAACATTCACGAAAACAGCTCACAACACCCATTCATACCACATCTTCTTCTTTCTTCTTCTTTATTTTGAGGGCCCACGATCAATGAATTGATCTTTCTGGCTCCTATGTTTCAGAGGGGTACATGATGATACTGTGCATGTGTTTCAAAGGGATGCTTCACGGGTTGCAAGGGCTACTCAAGCAGGGGTGTTATAAACTGGGGATTGGAATACAGAAGGCAATAGACACACATGTGTCGAGTGTAGCCGCTTCAACTGTTGCTTTTGGAAGCTTGCTCCAGTCCCAAATTGTCTTCGGCAGGAATGAGGAGCTCCTGTACTTTGTTCTTGTTTTACCAGCCGGAACTGTCTGTCGTGGCCTCATCGCTGTCTAAAGGGAAGATGAACGAGTTTCTGTTTGATAGCAACACAGGGCAATCAGGTCGTAAAGTTCACTCAACACACAACACCAATCAATAATACATACTATTACTCATTCTTTGCTCAGACCCGTTAACTGTCAAGGTAAAAAAAACATTATTTTTAATATTAAGTGCTCAGGTGTGTAAAATGATTGTGTTTTAAGAGATGCGTTTATCGGGTATGGGTATATTTATCTAAATGTCACCACGCTTTGTCAACGCCCTTGATTTATATTTTCTTAATTGGTATAACATATTTGTTTTTTGTTAAACGAAAACTTGGCACATTTTTTTTTTCCACGGCTGCAGCATCATTGGAATAAAGATATTGCCATTCTCATAAACATTGAACCCACCCGTAATCCACAACCTGGAACTGTAGCTTTGAAAAAAAATACTGAGGTATACTGAGGTAGATGTGCAAGTTTCTAGGTAAGGGCATTCTGCGGTAGATGTGCGAGTTTCTAGGTAATGGCATACTGAGGTAGATGTGCGAGTTTCTAGGTAAGGGTGCACTGAGGTAGATGTGCGAGTTTCTAGGTAAGGGCATTCTGAGGTAGATGTGCGAGTTTCTAGGTAAGGGCATACTGAGGTGGATGTGCGAGTTTCTAGGTAAGGGCATACTGAGGTAGATGTGCGAGTTTCTAGGTAAGGGTGCACTGAGGTAGATGTGCAAGTTTCTAAGTAAGGGTGCACTGAGGTAGATGTGCGGGTATCTTGGTAAGGGTGCAATGAGATAGACGTGCGAGTTTCTAGGTAAGGGCATACTGAGGTGGATGTGCGAGTTTCTCGGTAAGTGTGCACTGAGATTGATGTGCGAGTTTCTAGTTTAGGGCATACTGAGGTGGATGTGCGAGTTTTTAGGTAAGCGTGCACTGAGGTAGATGTGCGAGTTTCTAGGTAAGGGCATACTGAGGTAGATGTGCGAGTTTCTAGTTAAGGGCATTCTGAGGTAGATGTGCGAATTTCTAGGTAAGGGCATACTGAAGTGGATGTCTCCACAATATGTCAACATGTTTAAATTGTATTTTCGACAAAACTGTAACACGTATTTTATTGACTTTGAAAGAAAATCTGACAACTTTTTACGACAGTAATTTCAGTGGATTTAAGATATCATCCATATAAAAATGTACATTATCCTTTTTCATCCCTCGTTAATGTGTTTATGGAAGCAGGTTAATTATTTGTTTTTAAAAAGATTAGTAACTCCTTTATTCTTAGGCGTATCTTATGGCTTCCTGGAGCAAAATAAATGAATCGAATCAATCAGCCCCTTGACAGTTTTTAATAAATATTAATAAAATCACAGACCGCATTGTAGCCCCCTACGTAAGCAAACTCTTATTTTTTGTGCGCCCCCGGCCTTTATTAATATTTTAAAAGTCCCAGAAACTTTTTGCCCCGCATTGTTTGACGCTTTCTAAAACCATTTTCGTCTAAACATAATTCCCAGATATTTAACTTCTTTTGTTAATTATTTCAAGAGTAAAATCTGTACCTTGTTTGTAAGAGTGATAAGTGCATTAGTGAACGCTTTTAGGCTACGTATTTTCGCTGCACTGATTGAATAAAACAACATTTTCAATTCTGAACCAATGGTAGTATTTTTCCACCGAATATCTCTTTAAAGCTACTCTTGGTCAAGATTTAAATTTCAACGCAGTTTAATTATTTCAATTATAAGATTGTTGGACTTAGAAGATGTCACAGGAGAGTTGAGGATAATAAGAGTAGGCAGACATACATTTGATGATCACTTTCACTTAAAATATATATTTTTTATTTCGATTTGAAACACAATTATAGTGTTTTCACACGTTCGATGTTCACAGTTATCTTCACACTAGAGAGGTGATCAATGCTGCCCACACTAGAAAGGTGACCAGGCTGCCCACACCAGAAAGGTGACAGGCTGCCCACACTAGAAAGGTGACCAGGCTGCTCAGGACATGACTTAATAAAAAAAAACGAAGGCGACGAAACTTAAGGAATCAATATAACTCTATATGAAAGGGAAAACTTGTAACAGTTTATAACAAAGTCAACTGCTCATTCCCGCCAAAGTCAACTGCTCATTCCCGCCAAAGTCAACTGCTCATTCCCGCCAAAGTCAACTGCTCATTCCTGCAAAGTCAACTGCTCATTCCCGCCAAAGGCTATAGGGGACTGGAACACGCTTCTAAAAGTCACCGTTGAGGCGCCAATACGTCACACATTTGTGTCTATTGTCAATGACATTCCAAGCCCCAGTTCCCGATACCGTGGCTTAATAACCTTTGCATCCAGTGAAGTATCCTCTTCAATACCAAGCTCAGAAACATTGCGATTCCCCCCTACATACATACACAGGAGCCCGGTTGTTCAATACATTGATCGCGGTCCCTTAAAATATAGAAGAAAAAAAGAAGGCAAACACCTCTTGAGGCAACGTACAAAAATTGGATACATTTAAAAAAAAAATGAATCAGTCTTCAACATCGTATGCTGACAGTAATGAGTATCTCTATACAACAAATCTCCACGTCGTCACTTGTCTATCTGTTCTGGCAGCTATGATTACAACCTTCGTGGTCTTGTCGAACGTCACCGTCGTGGCGGCCATGTTGGTGTCACGTGACTCTGGTGCATCCCACAACGACCACAACATCACACAACTTCTGATGGCGTCCATGGCGTGTGTGGATTTTCTAATTGGGACATTCCACATGCCGATTAGTGTTGTGCACATTATACATAACGGCAAATGGATTCTGGGTACAGTGTTGTGCAGCATCTGGTACAACATCGGAAATGCTTTCTGTGGAGTCACCGCCTGTCATATATTGTGTATAGCTGTAGATAAATATCTGGCCGTCTGCAAGCCATTGGTGTATCGAGTCACTTCTAAAAGATTTGGTTACGTAATGATTATCTTGTCATGGACACTTCCAAGTGCAATGTTCTTGCTACCTCTGGCCTCAGACTTGTTTGGGACGACACTAGTCAAAATGACCAATAGTAGTGATCAAAGAACAGCATGCTGGTCTACTTTAAACAAAGGCATACTTCTTTTGTTGTACACCCTGGGATTTTATCTCCCGGTATTAACTACATACATTCTCTACGCGCTCATACTTTCTGAAATCTGGAAATTTAACAAAAGGAAATCATATTATTCAAAAAAAAATGTTCAGTTAAATTTCTACTCAAAGAAAAGTGAACTTTCAACAATTGGTGAGACTGAATCCAATACTGCTACTTTAAACCAAGAGTCGCATCCGAAGGGATCTTGCGGAAATATCAATACCAAAAGTGACCACCAAAATGGGAATCCAACTTCATATCAGAAAGGCAACAGCAAGATGACGCGTCGCTTCTCCCGAAACATGAAAGCTATTCGCACGCTTGGGACAATTGTGTTATGTTTCACGTGTTGCTGGATGCCGGTGTGGATATATGTTGCTATCTATTCCTACCATCAATTAGAACTGCCATCTACGTATATTTTATTTATAGGATGGCTAGCTTACACGAACTCAGCAGTCAACCCTGTTCTGTACAGCTTTTTCAAACCTATTGGAAAAGCCCTAAGATATTTACTGTGCAATGTGAAATAACATTTAATTAAATAAGATTTATCTTAAAATGCAGCATTTCTGTTTGCTTTTTGTGTTGTTTTAAAAAAAAAATTAAATTGATGTAAATCTTAATATTATTGATTAAAAAAAATCTCTGTTTAAGATTTCACCAATTATAATCATAATTAACATTTGAAAATTGTTAGATACATTTAACTATTTGTCTTTTGAACATTAGTATTTTATCATTTCAAACAAAACGTAATTTCACCAAGAATCATTACTAGCACTAAACATAATCGTATAAATCCTTTATAAAATTTATTTTCAAGCAATGGGGAGGTGTTAAAATTTGAAGAAAACATGCATACAAGTAAGGCACTTTATAAGAATCCCGCAATTAGTGTTTCACCCCCCACCCCTCTTTTAACCGCACATTATTTTCAAACTCTGAACTATATTAATATTCAAAATACCCACCCACTGTTAAATGGCAGATTTATTTCTCAATAAATTTTGGAAATTGCAAAAGGAAATTTTATGCACCAAAAGATCTTGCGTTACTTTAAAAAAATTTAAAAAAAAATCATTTAACGCAGTTATCGAGAAAGATATTTTATCTTCCCTTGAAAAGAAAAGAAACGCTTGATATTAGGGGGTTGCAGATTTCGGGTGGGGCTGAAAATGTTGACCTAATGTGTTGACACCGGCAACGAATGCATGTGCAAAGTTTCAGCTTGATAAGTTGACTGGAAGTAGGCTAAATAGCCGTACCAATAATTTGGCAGCCAAAGTGACCCAGTTCGCCATCCAGTTACACACGAACAAAAGCAAAGTTAATATGAAGGATTTAAAAAGAGAGTGTGTAATTCTTCTTATTCTTATTATCATTAAATTATTGCACAAACTTTTCAGTTACATTTTCAAATATTGAGGTACATGTTGTAACATGTTGTAACTGGCCAGACCTGTATATGAGAGCCGTGCATATTAATCCACATAGACCAACTATGTATTAATATATAACATGGAAAACTGGAAGTTGTATCTTGGAATTGTAACTTATTCTAATAATATGTAATATTACGAGCATATTATTTAATTCTTTACGTCTTTCAATAATGACTTGGTATTTCGATATAGATTTTCTTAATAATTTAACTGTCGCATGATTTCATGTAGGAACACGCCTGAAGTTTTTCTTGACTTGTTTTATCATGTGCTACTTCTTTTATCTTTAGGCAGATGATGTTTCACAATTTTCTTGGATTTATACACGTTTTTTTTTTCTTTGAAAATTTTGAACTTATTTATAATTCTTGTAAGCAATTTTATCCATCTCCATCATTTATTCAAGGTAAAAATAAAAGGTTTTTTGTTCTTCCTGGCATCTCATTGTTGTGCCTCATTTCTTCTGCGGGTGAATCTTATATCCCTGATCATTCAAATCACTCTTTACACATCTAATCAAGTTATTATTAAGTGTTATCTCCCTCATATTAGACTAGCGGTTCACAACTTATTTATTGGTTTCTCCCAAATCCCTTGCTTACACTATTTCTTCATGAGTAGCCCCTTCCTTACCCTTACTCATCCCTAAAACAATGTTAAAAATAGTTTAGCTATAGTAATCAAATGAAGCTGATAAATCTAATGGTATTTATGTGCTGTTATTTTCTATTCTACAAGTTATTTCAGTTTTTTCATAAAATTTTTGCGAACAGCCGAAATGAGTCGACGTGTAACAACATGGGTAAATGAACCTCAGATAGGAAAACAATGTTCTCATCAATCCTAATATATAATATTTGAATCTCATAAGCTTAGCACAGTGGTTCTCAAATTATTTAGGACAACCAGCAATTTGGGAATATAAAATCATCCGTATCTCCACTCTATATAATAATAATGTTTCACTAAAAGAGATGATTGTTACAGAAATAAATAGTCCTGTTTGTTTCACATACGAGTATGTTAGTTAAATATAATTGAATCGTTTTAAAAAAAAATTTAATTCGGTAATAGGGTAATTACTGAGGTTTTTAAAGTAGTAATTATTTAGCAACAATCTCAGATTTCTTAAGTTCTTCATTTGTCAAATACTCTGCACAAATTAATTCACTGGCTTCAAACTTCTAAGGGATTCACTTGAAAGTTTCCAAGTGTAACGACAGCACCTTAACCCACTTACAACAAATAAAATGTCAGGATTGTCCCTAGTAGGTAGGTATCTTACCATCTCCTGTTTCATCAGTTGCTGTGAAATATTTTTTTTTTTTGTGCTCGTATTTTCGTTGAAGAGCTTCCCAGGCAGACACAATATTTACACTTCTTCCTAATACCGTTTTCTATTTGTCTTTCAAAAAATAGCTCTCATTCATACGTTTTCTTATAAATAAACTGTATTTGAACGAGGAAAGTTTGAATAATTTTATGGAATATTCACTCATTCATTTGAAATAAAAACTTGTCTTCCATATTGTCCACCTTCAGTTTCTCACGACTCACTAGTATCAGAGCCCTCCTTAGGCACAGGCAAGCTAGGCGACAGCCTAGGGTCCCTCTGGCAAAGGGGTGCCCCGGTGGGCGCATTTTAGTATTATAGCCTACACATTGCAAGCCCAAATATTTAAGAAGCACACATTTTTTTCTAGGGGTGGAATTATCAATGAGAAAACGGTGACGAAGGCAGAATGGAGGTGCCCCAGTGGTGGGTGGTGTTTTCTGCTAAGCTCATTGGAAGCTCCGCGCCCAGACCCCTCTTCCGCTCTCTACCTAAGCTCCATGCCTAGGGCCCCCAAAATCATAAGAAAAATGCTACATTAAGGGTTATTCCAACACGTTTTCACTCCTATACTTATTCGTGTAATCGTATAACATATCGGTAAGATATCTACCTCTTTGCAGTCTTATTTGAGTAAGGGTTTCTAAAAGCATTAAAGAAATAAATATATAATTTTAAGTAAAATTATTTTCTTTATATGGAGTCCCAGAACCCACCATATCTCCAAAACCCTTTTGCCGCCAACTCAGCCAACTCACTCCTTTGAGAACCAATGGTGTAAATATAATTTATTAAATTAAAATCATTTAAAATCACCTTGTGGTGATAATGTATGTCATCATTTGAGAGCCCGCAAGTAGTTTATTTACTAAAATGATGAATTGCCGTATTGCCTTTATCAAAACTCTTATACAAGAGATGAGTCTGAACTAAAATTGATGTCATAGCGTCAGATTCACCAGTATCATGCTTCTCATTATTTTGAAATGAGAGGATTGCACCATTTCAAACTGTATCCATCGAGCACAGTTAATATGTACGGTCAATCAAAGTTATATCAGAAAAGAACCAACACCTTGCTTCATGTGCATGAAATGATAATAAAAAAAGAAATGTTTATATTTCATAGTTTAAATATTTTTCTTAGGTAATATGCATTTGTGAGATACTCGGATCAAACGCTTTGGGTTTTTTGCACAATCAATCAAGCCCCCGCCCCCCCCCCCCAGGAACGGAACATGGCGATATCTTCAACCGCTATCTTGCGTCCCTCTGCTGTCGTGGTTTCAACTGAAGAGCAGTGCAGCGTCTAAAAAGAAAAGTAATATAGACAAATTGAAAAGCTTTTAGCTTGGTCAACTTTAATAATGATTTGATGATTTTCCTCAGAAACAACGATAAGGCCAAAGTTCTAATATTGGTTCGGGGGAGGGGGGTGGGGGTAGTTTTGGCGGTGTATGACGGTTGTGTATGAATAGTGTTCTGTTTGAAGCTCAAAGCAAATATTTTATTTCACATGTTCATATTTTCTAAGTCCTAGTTTCTGTTTGGTTGCCTGAAACCTGGAGCTCTAGATAGCCGTGAAAATAAAAATTTTAACGTGTTCATTTCTCAAAATTTGTGCATAAAAGCCCATGTACAGTATGTCCAATATTTCTTTTCCGTGTAAAGGTAGACCAAGATTAACTGAATAAATTGCATCTTTTTTCAAATGATCTGAATCAGTCAAATAATTTTTGGAACTTGCTGAATTAGTTGAAGCAAAATCGGTTTAAACATTCAAAAAAGAGCTTTTAAATCATTGTGAAAAATGTTGGATTTATTTAACTGACGTATGTATGTTACAAGTTCTTCCAGTAAGGTCAGTAGTAACGTAAAAAACAACAACAACATAGGCCTAGTCTATTAATTTAATGAGTTTTTTGCCAGAGTGACTTGTTCATACTTGAAATATTATAATTATTATAGAAGATGTTACTATCTGATTTGTTCAATTTTACCCGATTAATTAATCTTGAACAACAAACCCCCAGGACATTTCGGCAATGGGAATGTGAGCTCTTCGTAATTTTAAAATTTAAATACAATCACTGTTCTTTTATTATTTAATACAGTGGCTCTCAACATACCTAATGCCACGACCCTTTTTTATTCAGTTCCTCATTTTGTGATGAGCCCCCCCCCCACCCACCCCAAAAACCCCCCAAAAAACTAAGACTATTTCCGTTGCTATTTCATAAATATGTGCTTCCCGATGGTCTTAGGCGACACTTGTATAAGTGTCGTTCGACCCCCCAAACAGGTTGCGACTCAAGAGTTGAGAACCGCTGGTTTAGTTGATCATGAAATCATGACGTCGTTCTAAAAGTTATTTAACAAGCAATTGTTTTTTTTCAGGTGCGGGAAGGAAGGAGTCGGGGGGGAGTCCATGCCACTGAAGTTAATACAATAATTTTCAACAGGCAGATATTCTTTTTTTTTTTCATTCTTTAACTATTATAATAATATATTTATATATCCATACATTTTTCATTTTTCCATGCGTGACACGGTAACTCTATAGTACACTGAATGACGACTCATTGACAGGTTTAACTTCACAAATCAATAAAGCACATTTTATGCTTAGCACAAACCTGGACGTTCCGATCATATTTGCTGTGAGCCTCTCGGTCATTGACGGCTTCACCACAATCGCCAACACCGTGGTCATCACAGCCTTGGTCACGTTTTTGTTTTGGACCGGTGTCGCTTGAGCTTTGAATATCATTGGTATATATTGTATAAAGTACAGGAGAGAGAACGCAGCCTTGTGGCACCCCGGTGCTTATTTCTCTGGTTAGAGATACTTGGTCATTTACTTTGACATATTGTGGTCCATTTGTTAAAACGTTCAGTATTCAAGCCTGAATATTTAAATAGACACCTAACGAGGAAAGGTTTATTATCATAATTGTGTGGTTGGATGGTGTTAAATGCTGAGGAGATATCTAAGAAAAGCACTCTGACGTATGTTTTAGGACTGTCTAGGTGAAGGTAAATTCTCTCCAACAATAGTAAGATTGCATCTTCAGTATTTCTAACAGATTTGTAAGCAACTTGGTGGGGGATCAAGTTTGTGCTGTACTTCATTCAAAAGTTCTTTCAGAATATTTCTCAAAATATTTCCTGACAATAGAGGTAAGTGCAACAGGTCGTAAATGACAATAGAGGTAAGTGCAACAGGTCGTAAATGACAATAGAGGTAAGTGCAACAGGTCGTAAATGACAATAGAGGTAAGTGCAACAGGTCGTAAATGGCAATAGAGGTAAGTGCAACAGGTCGTAAATGACAATAGAGGTAAGTGCGACAGGTCGTAAATGACAATAGAGGTAAGTGCAACAGGTCGTAAATGACAATAGAGGTAAGTGCAACAGGTCGTAAATGACAATAGAGGTAAGTACAACAGGTCGTAAATGACAATAGAGGTAAGTGCAACAGGTCGTAAATGACAATAGAGGTAAGTGCAACAGGTCGTAAATGACAATAGAGATAAGTGCGACAGGTCGTAAGTCGTTGTTGCACGTTACCTTATTTGTCTTTGGAACTGGTATTGTTTGCTGAAGTTTTCCAGATTTTTGGTATTCTGTGAGTTACATAAGATTTATTAAATATGTAAAACAAAAAAAAGTAGGAGGGCTGCTCTGAACATAGTTTAATGAGCCGACCACTTCACTTGTCTGGCCGACCACTTCACTTGTCTGGCCGACAACTTCACTTGTCTGGCCGACCACTTCACTTGTCTGGCCGACCACTTCACTTGTCTGGCCGACCACTTCACTTGTCTGGCCGACCACTTCACTTGTCTGGCCGACCACTTCACTTGTCTGGCCGACCACTTCACTTGTCTGGCCGACCACTTCACTTGTCTGGCCGACCACTTCACTTGTCTGGCCGACCACTTCACTTGTCTGGCCGACCACTTCACTTGTCTGGCCGACCACTTCACTTGTCTGGTCCCGAGGACTTGGCTGCGTCCACTTGGTTAAATAATGACATCACTTCCTGTTCGGTGAACAAAAAAGTACCACCCTGTGTACTACTGCCATATTTAAATGAATGCATCACCTCATTGTGTACTCTTCAAAATGTTCAGGCTGTCAAATCAACAATAAAAGTAATTTAAGCCTTTAAAAAAATTCTTCACGTCCTCAACACATAAGCATTCTCGCTTAGGAGTATATCCTGTTATTTGCTTTAGTCCTGCCCAACAAACCTTTGAATTGTTAGTAGTCAATAATTTTTTGAATTTTTTTTTGGTATTTTTTTTACCCTGATATATTTTTTCCTTCAATATTTTTTTTAGCTTTAATTAATTCCTGATCGTTACTCTTAAACATGGTCTTCTTGTGGTGTATGGCCTCCTTTATTTCTCTGCTCATCCAGGGTTTGTTGTTGTTGAATACTCGGATGTTTTTGGGGGAATAATTTCGTCTACACAGAACTTAATGTAGGAATTGACGGCGTTTGTTTGCTCTTCAATGTCCGGGCAAGTGTTAATAAACGCGGCCCAAGTCTGTACATTCCAAGCAGGTTTGAAGTTTTTCTGTCACGTCATCTTTTTTTAAAAATTGAATTTTTGTTGTTTTTAAAACTGGCTTATAGCATGACGTTAGGCGGATCATTGTGTGATCGGATTGTCCCAGTAGAAATAAAGCAATATATGTGTAGGCCTTTCTTATATTACCATAACACATTATATCAAAACAGCAAAAGAATGACAATAGCCGGCGTCATTGAAATGTATATTTGGAAATAGTTAAGTAGAATTCCTTACTAAAATAAAAGTAGTGCGTATGTAATGATTATAATGTTTTAAATGTCATTTAGTTTTGGGGAAATACGTATCTTCTATTTAATACTAGAAAATATGACCCGATGTTATCGGGATAAATAATGATAGGTCCTTCGCGATAACTTCTACCTGCTATTGCAACCACTTATCACAATTCCTAACTTTAAAAAGAAGTATTTATGAATGATAATTACGTTTCTAACATTTCATTAAGTTTTGAGAAGTTTTTATATGCTATATATTATACGCCTGCCCTACTCTCTTTACACCCCTAAACTAATGTTTTCCCCTCTCTAAACATGATCCTTAAATCACCCAATCTAAATTATCATTAATTATATAATCTTTGATTTAAAAAAATAATTTAAGGCAAATTTATAAGCTAGAAAAATACTTTAAGTTTACCACATTTCGTGCCATTGAATTACAACTTTTTTTCTGTAAAAAAACAACATATTCTTAAATTTACAACGTAAACACTCTATATGGCAACATTTATTTTATAGGAATTTGATATATTGATATTTTCATAAAAAATGTAAACACTTTTTTTGCCTTTTATTAAAATTATACATATTCAGAAATCGTAAAACAAAGAATTCTTTTATCTGTAGAAGAATCTCGAAACCATTCAAGTTTAAACGTATATGTGTGTAAAATGATTCGGTTTTGGAATGATTTTATAAGGTATGGGTTTGTCTACAGATATATACCCACGATTTGTCAATGCTCTAGCACACTATTTTCTTAAATAGTATAACAATATTTTTATTTGATAAAATAAAACGTAACATTTTTTTTTCCGCGAATGTAATAATAGTAATATCATTGGAGTTAATGATATTGTCACCCTCTTCAACATGAACCCACATCACATCCTCATCAACATGAACCCACATCACATCCTCATCAACATGAACCCACATCACACCCTCATCAACATGAACCCACATCACATCCTCATCAACATGAACCCACATCACATCCTCATCAACATGAACCCACATCACATCCTCATCAACATGAACCCACATCACACCCTCATCAACATGAACCCACATCACATCCTCATCAACATGAACCCACATCACATCCTCATCAACATGAACCCACATCACACCCTCATCAACATGAACCCACATCACATCCTCATCAACATGAACCCACATCACATCCTCATCAACATGAACCCACATCACACCCTCATCAACATGAACCCACATCACATCCTCATCAACATGAACCCACATCACATCCTCATCAACATAAACCCACATCACATCCTCATCAACATGAACCCACATCACATCCTCAGTCCTGAATTGTAGCTTGGTGAAATTTGAACAAACTACGACATCCTTTGTTGTTGGTGTTTTTTTTAAAGTATCCAATAATTTTCCGTCTTCGAGCTCTGGGTAATCTTATGTTAATGTGCTCACAGTGTGTTAGCACCCATGAAATGCATTGTTTATTTAAACCCCCTCTTTTCAACTGTACATTGCATATATCGGTGGAATGTTTTAAAGCCATGAGATCTGAGTCAAAAGTATTTGGATCATTTATTTTTCTAAGAAAATAAGTTTTCGTTTAAAATGCAGAATGTAGATTTAGTTTCCTTTGATTGTTAAGAGAAAAGAAATGCGAGGGGGGGGGGGAGGGAGTGGTGGTCGTTCATGGTGAACAAAAATTTCAATTCTTGACCAAATTCAATTTTTTTTTTTTTTTTTTTTTTTTTTTTTTTTTTTTTTATAATTTTTTTTATTTTTTTTTTTTTTTATTTTTTATTTTTTATTTTTTTTTTTTTTTTTTTTTTTTTTTTTTTTTTTTGCTTTAGAACATCTCTTTAAAGCTATTTTTCTTAAGATTTAAATTTTACTATATTTGAGTTATTTCCACTGTACACTAGAGGGCGTTTAGAACAGGTTACAAGAGAGTCGAGACTAATATGACTTTTCCCCCTGTAAATGAATGGTTGCAATGTAGTTAGGAATATATACATTTTATGATCGCCTTAACTTAAAGAAAAATTTTATTTCGATTTTAAAGGACACTTACATTGTGGTGATCAATGCTGCTCATACTGGAGAGGTGACCAATGCTGCTTACACTTGAGAGGTGACCAATGCTGATCACGCTAGAGAGGTGACCAATGCTGCTTACAGATGAGAGTTGACCAATGCTAATCACGCTAGAGAAGTGACTAATGCTTCTCACACTAGAGAGGTGACTAATGCTTCTCACGCTAGATGGTGACTAATGCTTCTCACACTAGAGAGGTGACCAATGCTATCCAGGACTTGACTTTAAAAAAACCCCCACGACATTGATGAATCCAAATGAATCCATTTATAAATATACATGAAAGGAAATACGTGTAGCAACTAATAACAAAGCACATTTCTTGAGACAACGTAAACACTATATAAAAAGAAAGAAATGAATCAGTCTCTAGTGTTGCATACTGACAGAGATGTGTGCTTCTATACAACAAATCTCAACGTCATCACATTTCTAGCTCTTTTCGGCTCTATGATTACAACCTTCGTGGTGTTGTCGAACGTCACCATCGTGGCTGCCATCATGGTGTCACGTGACGCTGGCACAAGACACAACCACCACAACATCACAAAACTACTGATGGCCTCCATGGCGTTTGTGGATTTTCTGATTGGGGCATTCCACATGCCGATTAGTGTTGTTGAGCTTACACATCAAGGCAGCTGGATTCTGGGTACAGAGTTTTGCAGCATCTGGTACAACATTGGGAATGCCTTCTGTGGAGTCACCGCAAGTCATATATTATGTATAGCTGTAGATAAATATCTGGCCGTCTGCAAGCCTTTGATGTATAGAGTCCTTACTAAAAGAATGGGTTACGTTATGCTTCTCCTGTCATGGACCCTTCCCAGCGCATTGTTCTTACTACCTCTGGCCTCAGGCTGGTTTGGGACGTCAATCGACAAACCGACCAATGGCCGTGATCAGAGAATATCGTGTTTGCCTGTTTTAAACAAAAGCATACATTTATTGTTTTACACCCTTGGATTTTATCTCCCGGTATTAACTACATACATTCTCTACGGGCTTATATTTTCTGAAATCTGGAAATTTAACAAAAGGAAATCTTACATGGCTAAAAACAAAGCTAAGGTAAATTTCTACTCAAAGAAAAGTGAAATTTCAATAATTAGTGAGACTGAATCTAGCACTCCTACTTCAAATCGAGCAACTCATTCGAAGTGGTATTGCGAAGACATCAATGACGAAAGTCACCAACAATCTAACAATCTAACATCATATCAGCAAGATATCAGCAAGATGGCGCGTCGATTTTCCCGAAACATAAAAGCTATTCGCACGCTTGGGACAATTGTGTTGTGTTTCACTTTTTGCTGGATGCCCGTGTGGATATATGTTGCTATCTATTCCTACCATAAACTGGAACTGCATTGTTATTATACTTTTTTTATAGGATGGTTAGCTTACATGAACTCAGCAGTCAACCCTGTACTTTACAGCTTTTTCAAACCTATTGGAAAAGCCCTAAGATATTTACTGTGCAATGTGAAGGAAAATTTGAGTTTGTTTTAAAAATGTACAATTTTCAGAGTAAAAGTAATAAGCTTTTTTGTTTTTTTTTTTTAAAGTCGAGGAGCTTAAGTGGATTTTGGATATTGATTTTACTGTTAAAAAATATTAAGTTGTGCTTAGATTTCACCAATTCAAATTAGTGTCTGCACATTTGGAGATGCATTTAAACTATTTTTTTATGGTCATTAAATATATAATTGTCTCCAACAAAACGTACTTATTATTATTAAATTATTACACAAACTGTTCAGCTACATTTTCAAATATTGAGGTACATGTACTTTTAACATGTTGTCACTGCCTTACTGGCCACACCTGTATATGCGAGCCGTACATATTAATACCCATAGACAAACTAAATATATATAACATAGACAACCGGTATACGCATGGGAATTGTAAATTATTTATAAGTACTATTACGTACAAAATATTTAATTATTGAAGTCTTTCAGTATTGACTAAATATTTTCCCATCTAGATTTTTTCGTCTAAGTTCTTGTGAGATCTCGTCTGATTTTTTTTTTTACTGACCCATTGTATGATGTGCTGCTTCTGTGATGTTTAGATTGCTATTTATAAGTTTTTAGTTCTTCGTAAATATTTATCTTGTTTAGAATTCTTTTTGTCATTTTATTTATAATCTCCATTTTTTTATTCACTGTAAAAAACATTTTTTTTGTTCTTCCTTATCTCTCATTGTTGTGCGTCATTTCGTCAGTTCAGAATTTCATATCCCTAATTATTCAAATAACTCTGCAGATATCTATTCTCGTTATTATTAAGTGTTTGCTTCCTCATATTAGACTAGCGGTTCACAAATTATTTTTTTGTCAGCCTTATCCTTGCTTAGAGTATTTCTTCATGAGAAGCCCCTTCCTTACCCCTACTCATCCCTAAAACAATGTTAAAAATAGTTTAGCTATAGTAATCAAATGCAGCTGTTAAATCTAATGACATTTATCGGCTGCTATTTTCTACTCTACAAGTTATTTCAGTTTTTTAATAAAATTTTTGCGTACAGCCCAAATGAGTCAACGCGTAACAACTTTGGTTCGGGAACCTCTGATTGCAAACCACTGCCATCGACACTCCAAATTTATAATATTTGAATTTCATAAGTTTAACACAAGGGTTCTTAAATTATTTAGGAGAACCAGCTTTTTTGGGATTATAAAATCATCCTTAACTCCACTCTAAATTATACAAATGTTTCACCAAATAGATTATTGTTAAAGAAAGAAATATTCTTGTGTATTTCACGTAAGAGTATTTTATTTAAATTTAATTGAAACATTTTTTAAATTAATTTTTTGTAAAATCATCTCTATATAATAATGTTTCACTAAAAAAAAGATTATTGCTACAGAAATAAATGTTCTTGTTTATTTCACATACGAGTAAGTTAGTTAAAATTCATTTAATCGTTTTTTTTGTATTAATTCGGTAATGGTCTAATTACTGTGCTTTTCAAAGTAGTAAAATTATTTAGCAACAATGTCAGATTTCTTAGGGTCTTTATTGTTCAAATAGTCTGCACAATTTAATTCCCCAGCTTCCTATTTCTAAGTGATATTTGTAAATTTCCAAGCGTGACGACAACACCTTAACCACCTTCCAACAAATAAAATGTCAGGATTGCCACCTAAGAGTTAACTTACAATCTCCTTCCTTGCAAAATTCATTCCGAATTTCAAAGTTTGAACCTGGTCAGTAAAGTTTTTGGATGTGCCTCTCCTTCACTCCACTTGGACGGTATGGTCTTAGGATTAGCCCCTCCTCCACTTCATTATGAAAGTATTGTTTTTTGGATGAGCACCTACGTCACTGCAGTAACTGCCTCAAATATTTTAACGGATTTATCATCCAATCTGTGTTTAAAATTCGAAAATATGTCAGATTATGTTATATAACAGCTCAAACAGGTGTCAGTTATTTTTATATAATAGGTATTGCTCCCATAAACTTTGTCTTTTATATTTGCTTGGGGAAAAAAGAATATGTTAAGACGACCAATTTTGTACTGCTTCAGTATAATTATTTTTGTATTCAAAAGTATGTGAAGCAATATTTACTCTTAATAAGATTGATCTAGTTCTCTTGAAAATGAAATTTCGATTTGATTTAGTTTTTCACTTATCAACTATGTATATAATTTTAATTAAAATTATTTTCTTGATATGATTCTCCAGTGACCCCTTCTGGAGTCTCATAACCCACCATATTTCCAAAACTTTTCGCAGCCCACTGAGCCAACTCACCACTTTGAGAACCAATGGTGTAAATATTTATTAAATTAAACTCATAATTGCCTTGTGGGAATAATATAAGTCATCATTTGAGAGCTCTCGAGTAGTTTATTTACTAAAACGATGTATTACCGTATGGTCTTTATCAAAACTCTTAGACCAGAGATGAGTGTCTGAACTAACATTGATGTGGCAGAGTCAGATTCACCAGCAGCATGCTCCTGACTATTTTGAAATAAGAGGATTGCACGATTTCAAACTATACCCATCGAGCAATTTTTATATGTACGGTGAATCAAAGTAATGGCAGAGTAGAACCAACACCTTGCTTCATGTGCATGACACGAAGAACAATAAATGGTTGTACTTCCTAGTTTAAATATTCGCTTTTAGGTAACATGCATTTGTGAGATACTCAGATCAAAAAGCTTTTTTTTTTTTTTTTTTTGCCTAATCAATCGAGCGGAACCCGCGATATCTGCAATCGGACAACTTTGACAAAACATTTTCCTCCTTCACTATATTAAAACCAGCTCTTGGTCAAAGTGTTGTTAATTAATTTTCAGTCTTTGAAGCTGGTCGTTATCTTGTGTCTTTGCTGTCGTGGTTTTAACTGATGTGCCATACAGCGGCTAAACAAAGGTAACATAAACACTTTAAAGGCTTTCAGCTTTGTAAACACTTATAGTGATTTCATATATTTCCTTAGCAGAGGCGTAGCGAGGGGGTGGCAGGGGGGACAGATGTCCCCGGGTGCCAGCTAATTAAGGGCGCCAAAATGTGCTTTGATATTATTTTATTGATGAAAATCATGGGTTTGAGTGTTGAAAAAAAGAAAAAGGGGCGCTTAAAAATGGATCTTATCCCCGGGCGCGAATCTTGTCCCCAGGCGCCAAACACCCTCGCTACGCCTCTGTTCCTTAGTAACAACGATAATGCAAAGATTTTGATTTTTTTAGGTGGGGGAGGGAAGGGTATTGATAGTTTTTTTGGTGTAGGACGGTTGTGTTTGATGACGTGTCTGTTCGAAGCTGAAAGCCAATATTTTTTTTAGCAGTTCACTTTTTCAAAATATTATTTTTTTGTTTGTTAGCTTGACATCTTTAGGCCTGGATAACTGTGAGAACAAATCTTGATGCCTAGATAACTGTGAGAACAAATCTTTAGGCCTAGATAACTGTGAGAACAAATCTTTAGGCCTAGATAACTGTGAGAACAAATCTTTAGGCCTAGATAACTGTGAGAACAAATCTTTAGGCCTAGATAACTGTGAGAACAAATCTTTACGCCTAGCTAACTGTGAGAACAAATATTTAGGCCTAGATAACTGTGAGAACAAATATTTAGGCCTAGATAACTGTGAGAACAAATCTTTAGGCCTAGATAACTGTGAGAACAAATCTTTAGGCCTAGATAACTGTGAGAGCAAATCTTTAGGCCTAGATAACTGTGAGAACAAATCTTTAGGCCTAGATAGCTGTGAGAGCAAATCTTTAGGCCTAGATAACTGTGAGAACAAATCTTTTCAGATGTGCATTTTTAAAAATGTTAGTGTTTGCACCTGGAAATGACGTAATGGTTGACCGCCCGCCCAGCAACCGAAACTTGAAGGCATACAGAACCATCGGGACGATCTTGATCTGTTTCACGGCGTGCTGGCTGCCCCTTGGTCTCATGGCTGTGGTTGTACCTTTCGTGGACTACACCGACTATCCGCCCTTGAGTGCGGTGTAGATAACCCTGCTACAGACTACAACAGTGGCCTCAGAGTTATCTTAGACAAACATGCACCACTGTCCAAACGGCGAGTTACGGACCGCCCTTCCGCCCCATGGCTCACGCCCGAAATTAAGGACGCTAAGCAGAAGCAGCGACGTGTAGAACGCCAATGGCGGAAGTCGGGCTTGACTGTGCACCGTCAAATCTTTGTTGACCACAGGGAAAGAACCAAGAGGTTGGTCCTTGCAGCTAGGACTGAGTATGTTAGTCATCAGATTACAGACAGCGGCTCAAGCAAGGACTTATTTCGCATTGTGGGTCAGCTGACCGGTAAAAACAAGGCTACATCTCTGCCAAATAACATTGCTGTAGAAGAGCTGCCAGACGCACTAAATGACTACTTTATTACCAAAGTTAAGAGGATCAGAGCGAAAATTGACAGTTACATCGATACTGCTCCAGAATTCTCACTATTCAACGGCTCTTCTATGGCTGAATTTGTTGAGGTCAGTGAATCGAATGTGAGGAAAATCCTCGCTAATACCCCAAGAAAGTCATGTTCGCTTGACCCTCTTCCAGCAGGGCTCTTGTATGAATGTCTGGATGAAATAGTCCCCATCATCACTTATATTATAAATCAGTCCTTAACTACTGGTATTGTTCCATCATCTTTTAAAGAGGCAATCGTTACTCCACTATTAAAGAAATCAAATCTTGATCCAAATGTGTTGGAAAATTATCGCCCCATCTCAAATCTACCATTTATTTCTAAAATCTTAGAAAAAGTCGTTCTCCGCCAACTCCAGGATCACCTCACTCAGTTTGACTTGTTTGAACCATTCCAATCAGCATACAGGGTGCATCACTCTACTGAGACAGCTCTGTTGCGCGTCGTAAACGACCTTCTGTCGTCTTGTGATGAGGGCCGGGTATCGATTTTGTCTTTACTCGATTTATCGGCAGCTT